GGCCGGGCTTTTTTTTTTTTTTTTTTTTTTGTGTGTGTGTGTGCACTTTTTAAAAGTGTTGTCATAGAAGGCCTCACTGAGGTAATGTTTCAGCAGAGACCTGAAGGAGATAAGAGAGGGAATCCATGTTTTTATCTAGGGGAGAGTACTCCAGTGAGAGGAAATAACAAATGTAAAGGTCCTGAGGTGGAACTGTGCCTGGTGTGTGAGGGAGCAATGAGGGGCCAGTTTCCCTGTAGCAGAGTGGGCTAAACCTGTCAGTGCTGGAGGGTTTCTCATCTTAAGGACCTCATGTTAGAGGATATCCCTTTCTGACAATGGCTCATAAATGAGTACTAGAATTTCCTAGTTCGCACTAATTGTAGTACCCTCAGATTGGAAACAGCACAAACATCCATCAACTGTAAAATGGATCATTAAATCATGGTATATTCATGGTGGAGAATTATTGGCAATGAGAATGAACATCCTACAATTATATGAAATTACACCCTATTATTACTCATTAAACAGAACATATATATGTTTTATGCATTTTTCTGTATGTCATTGTTTACAATAAAAGTAGGGGAAAAACTTCACCAAAATGTTAGTATCCAAGCGAACAATGATTAAGTAGAAGAAAGTGGGGAAATACATTTTTGTTTAAAGCTTTCTCTTTGCCCTCTTAATAGCTGGCAGTTGCGACAACTCAGAAGCTGTTTGCCGTCAGGAGAACCAGAACTTGCATTAATGAACTTGTTTTTCAAATATCTCATCAATGGGTCCTGAACACAAGCTCCAAGTGGAAACGACCACCATGAACACAGCCAGAAAAAAACATCACGGAATGTTCGTTTGAACTGCAGAAGGGGTCCTTGACTGAGATCTTCCCTTCTCTCTAAATCTTTCCAGGAGTATCCATGAATTTGATGGATGAAAATACTACATCTTTATTTTCACTAATATAACTGAAATTTACCCTTATTCCCAAATATGAATTCTAGCAATAAATTATGATCATAAAAGCAGTGCCTGCAATTTTCCCGCCAAATCAAATCAAATCAGTTCATTTTTATAGTAGGGTTGTTGCAGTCATCATGAAATATTGTTCACATTCATCACTAATTGGAATCATGGAAGATCTTATAATTTCATCTAATTAAAAAGTTCATATATTACTGCATGCCAATGTTTCATTTTAATATAGATGGTCATATTTTTTCCAGTTTCATTGAGATATAATTGATATATGAGTTTAATGTATACAACATAATGATTTGATATGTGTGTATATTGTGAAATGATCACCACAGTAAGTTTAGTTAACATCCATCACCTCACATAGTTAAATTTTTTTCCCTCTGATGGGAATTTTTAAGATCTACTCTCTTGGCAACTTTCAAATACACAATACCGTAGTATTAACTATAGTTACCATGCTATACATTACATCCCCATGACTTATTTATAACTGGAAATTTGTACCTTTTGACCATTCCCCCACTTCTGGCAACCACCAATCTGGTCTCTGTTTCTCTGAGTTCATTTTTTTTTTTAAGATCCCACATATAAGTAAAATCATACTATATTTGTCTTTGTCTGTCTGACTTATCTCCCTAACCCTAACCCTCAAGGTCCATCCATATTGTCCCAAATAGAAAGATTTCATTTTTTATGGCTGTACATTCTAGCAGTCAGTTCTTAGGAGTGGAATTGGCATACATGCAGCTTTAATATTTCATTGTATGCATACACCATATTTTCTGTATTCATCCATCCATTGACAGACACTTGGGTTGTTTCCATATCTTGTCTGTTTTGAATAATGCTGTGAACATAGCTGTGCAGATACCTCTTTGAGCTAGTGATTTCATCTCCTTTGGATAAATACCCAGAAGTGGGATTGCTGGATCATATGGTAGTTCTATTTAACTTTTTGAGGAAGCTCTGTACTATTCAATTGGTTTTGTAGTAATCCTTTGTATCTGAGTGTGTTTTTGTATGCGCATGCTTTTTTGTTGTTAATTCTCACCAGAGAATATTCTTTTCCGTTATTTTTAGAGAGAGTGGGAGGGGAGAGAGAAACATCAATGTGAGAGAGACACACCGATTGGTTGCCTCCTGAAAGCACCCCAACCGGGGCTGGGGATCAGACCTGCAATCCAGGTACGTGCCCTTGACTGGGAATTGAACCCATGACCCTTTGGTGCTCAGGCCGACACTCCAACCACTGAGCCAGGGCTGTATGTGCATGCTTTTAAAATATTCTGTTAAGGGTTCCACAGATTTAACCAGATGCCAAAGGGTTCCACAGAACAATATGTGAAACCTCTTCTCTTAAAGAAATGTCAGATAGCCTGTCTTGACTGCAGTCTTGAATTTCTACAGTTTAGCAAACAGGAGCTGACAAACTCACCAGCTACTGGGACAGAACCAGTTTCTGCAACTCACTTCCATATCTTTAGAAACTCACGTTCTCTGTCCAAATCCCAGTCCAGTGACCTTAGGACTCTTTACATCCCAGTCTGTGACCCTGTGTTTCTGCACCTGACTATGTGACCCTAAGAGTGCCAAGTCTCTGTAACCCTTGGGTTGGGGGCGGCACACCACAGAGTGTTAACCCAAGATTCTTCCCACCCAGGTCACTGTGACCACGGGAATGTATGACAGAAGTGTCCACACAAGAGGCTCTGTGACCATGGGAGTATCCATGCCCATTGCCATGAGAATTCAACAGTGACAACACTACAGTCTGTGAGGCCCCAGGAGTATGCACACTACAGTTTTGTTCACCCCAGGAGTGTACACATCTAAATCTCCAGGAACATAAACACAGCCTTTGGTACCTTGCAAGTATACTCACCTCAGGCTGTGTGTCCCTAGTTGCTCAGCCCCCATCTGTGTGACATCAAAAGTATACACATGCAAATCACTGTAACAGGAGCAAGGTCTAATCCCCAGTCTGTGTGACCCAGTGGTGTCTATACCCCCTAGTGTGTGGCCCAGGAGGGACCAGCCTGACCCAGGCCATCTCTGACCTCAGGAGCGCCTCTCTCCATCTATCCAGCCCTGATTGTGGATGCCCTAGTATTGTGACTCCAGGAGTGTCCACACCCTTCTGTGTGACTTCAGAACTTTCCACACCAAAGTCAGTTTGTCCACAGGGGTACATATTACCTCAGACCATGTGTCCTCAGTGGAGTGATTTAGTCTAAGTGACTCCTGGAATGTTCCCATCCATCTGTGATGACAGGAATAACTTCTCCAGTGTGTGTGGCTCCAGGCTTTCCACAACCCAGCCTGTGTCACCCCAAAAGAGTACATGCCCCAGTCAGTTTGACCACAGGTTTGTCAATTCTTTAAACTATATAACAACAATGGGTGGCCATTCCTCAGTCTTTGTGACCCAAGGGGTTACCACACCACAGTCATTATCACCCACAGGGGTGTCTACAACATAGTCTGTCACCAGAGGAGTTGTAGTGTCTGTGTAACACCCAAAGTATTTAAAACGTGGTCTGGCCCGGCCCGGCGTGGCTCAGCGGTTGAGTGTCAACCTAGGATCCAGGCGATCGGGGTTCGATTCCCAGTCAAGGCACATACCCGGTTGTGGGCTTGATCATTGATGTTTCTGTCTCTCTCTCTCCCTCTCCTTTCTTCTCTCTGAAATCAATAAAGATATATTTTTTAAAAATTAAATTAAAAATAAAAATAAAACATGGTCTGGTGACTCCATAAGTGTCCACATCCCAAAGTTTGTGACCCCAGAGTTGTGAAAACTCCAGTCTATTTGACCCCAGGGATGGCCACTGCCAAGTATGTCAGTCTGTGATAGTGCCCATATCCCAATCTGGGTGACCTCACCAATAGTCATAAGTCAGCCTTTGTCACCACAGGAGTGCCCAACCCCTCTCTATGACCCCAAGAGTCTCCAGACCCCAATGCCTGTTCTCAGGGAAGCACACCCACAGTCTGCATTACTACAGAATTGTTCACACTACAGTCTTTCATAGTGGGCTTTCTACCTCCCAGTCAGTGTCCCTTAAGAGTGAGCATTCCTCAGCCCAGCCGGGCGTGGCTCAACAGTTGAGCATCGACCTAGGATCCAGGAGATTGGGGTTTGATTCCATGTCAGGGCACATGCCCGGGTTGCGGGCTGCAGCCAATCAATGACTCTCTCATCACTGATGTTTCTATCTCTCTCTCTCCCTCTCCCTTCCTCTCTCTGAAATCAATAAAGATATATTTATTAAAAAAAAA